GGAATGGCTGTCAGTATTCTGCAGTTAAGAAGAATTACAGGCGTCCTCGTATCTTTTCACAGAAGTGTCATCTTAAATCTTTTCTTCCCAAATGGGTGACACATAGCTGGCTTATTTCCACACTCAGTTTCTATCACTTGGATTTAGATTTACTTGCCAACATCATGAGTTTGGCATTATGTCAAAGTGTCTTGGCTTATGCAGCAAGTGCAAATGTTGCACTTTGAAGACGTAAGCTACTGCGGAGAATCCAGGCAGGAAACCTGGAGGAGCTCCCTCCATCATGCTCGGGTTCCTGCCCATATATCCCCCTCCAGCATCACTTCTCAGGACGACTGCTGCTGTTGTCATAATGAGCCGTTTGACAAACCTAGCCAGAGCTCTTCCTTCTATTCAGCTGTCACTGATTTTTTTGCCACTCAGCTGAAATATTCACTCATTTATTTTACCTCACTTCCTCCTTTCCTCCATGACCTTCTTCCTCGGCTGCGTTAGTCAGTCATGCACCATCACGACAATGCTGCTGCTCAAGCTTTTCAAGAAAAATCATAAATATGCTGCTATGCAGTTGTAGATAGCACTGAATGTTTACCTCAGCAGTTTGCCTTAAGCCATGCCTGGTGTAACTATACAATTAATTTGAGATCTAACCCGTTTTTTTTTCCCTCCCTGAAGCTTTAAGTTATTTCACTGTTGCTTTCTGCTGACTGATATCTTCCCCTCTTGCAGCTATGCACAAGAGGTTTAATGTCGGGATGTTTCCCACAAAGGCAGCATGTTGCTGATTCTCTGCAGTTTTTGCTTTCCAACTTCTTTTGTGTGTTAAAAGTCTTTTAGTATTCAAGGTATTTATCTTGTGATAACTAACATCCTGATGGACCGTCAATTATTCCTCACGAAATACACTGCCTGGCCCCAAAGAAAACAAGTCGCCACCTGGATTCAACTAAGCAAAAAGGTACGAGCCTCCTATTGGATAATTACTGCATGGGTGATTATCTTTCAGCTGGCAACAAGTTATTTAACCCCAACTGGTGCAATGACTTGCACCAGTTGAAAGACACATCCCGTAGTCGTGGAGAATATGTTAGTCTGTTTGAGAAGCATCAAATCATTGGCATGCATCAAGCAGAGAAAACATCTAAAGAGATTGCAGAAACTACTAAAATTGGGTTAAGAACTGTCCAACGCATTATTAAAAACTGGAAGGATAGTGGGGACCCATCATCTTCAAGGAAGAAATGTGGCGGGGGAAAAAATCCTGAATGATCGTGATCGGCGATCACTTAAACGTGTGGTGAGATCAAATCGAAGAAAAACAACAGTAGAACTCTGAACAGCTGGGTAGCCGTAAGAAAACCACTAATCAGTGAGGCTAACCGGAAAAAAAAGGCTTCAATTTGCTAGGGAGCATAAAGATTTGACTGTGGAGCAATGGAAGAAGGTCATGTGGTCTGATGAGTCCAGTTTGACCCTGTTCCAGAGTGATGGGCGAATCAGGGTAAGAAGAGAGGCAGGTGAAGTGATGCACCCACCATGCCTAGTGCCTACTGTACAAGCCTGTGGGGGCGCTGTTATGATCTGGGGTTGCTGCAGTTGCTCAGGTCTAGGTTCAGCAACAGTATGTGCTCAAAGAATGAGGTCAACTGAATATACTGAATGACCA